AAACATTAGGGCAGCACATAAACTAATAAAAATGAGTTAATTTAAGTAAAAAAAAAGCTAGCTAGAAAGAAGCCTAAGCTAAGGCAGAGCATTCCCAACAGTAAGTCTTCATGTCATGATTCGGGGGCTGGCAGTCCAAGACAGCCAGCCACACCTCCCTGTCTCAGTCTCCCAAGTACCTGGGATTGCAGGCGTGCACCACTATGTCTGGACAGCTTTCATCTTCTTGGAGGGACAAGTAGAGTTCAGTCACCAGAGATAAAGCACCTTTGATTCTTTTAGACACACCTGAATGCCTCACATGTGGACAGCAAGAACACAGCCATTAGGAACTCGAATAGAGTCCAGAGGATAATCTCACCAAGGGAAGATGAAAGTCTGATAAAAAACAAAAGACTGAGGGAGACCTCATTCCAAGAGACAAAAGCAAAAATAAAAATACATTTCGTGGGCTGGAGAGATGGCTCAGAGGTTAAGAGCACTGCGGGTTCTTCCGGAGGTCCTGAGTTCAATTCCCAGCAACCACATGGTGGCCCACAATCATCTGTAATGAGATCTGATGCCTTCTCCTGGAGTGCAAGCATGTACACAGATAAAAACTATATACATAATAAAATAATTTTAAAAAAATACATTTAGTTTATGGCTCCTGACAAAATATCAAAACCCGATTCAGCAAGAACTTACCTACTAGCCTCGAGAAGAATGGTGCCCCAAAGAGAAACACAAAAGGTTTCAGTTGCATCCACTATGATTAAAACTGAGAGTCTCCAGCCAGGTAGTGAGGGCTTCAGCCGAACCTCTAAGGACCCTCTGTTTCTGGCAATGCCCTATAACCAAAGACTATTAAGAACAAACCACAGCATTTAGGAATAAGTAACAAGAGGTTTCAAAACAAAAAAAGAAAGAGAGCACTGTAGGTGGACTCTTCCACACGGAGAATATTAATTATAAATGCTCAGCTGATAGCTTAGACTATTTTTTAGCTAGCTCTTATAACTTTATAAATTAATCTATGTGCTGTCCCAAGGCTTGTTTAACTTATCTGAGTACTTCCTATCCTGCTCTCTGTTTCCAGGTGTCTCCTCTTGACTCCTGAGACTCTGTCCCTCTTCTTCTCATGGTTCTCTCTGCTCCCAAAATCCTGCCTCGCCAGGAGTCAGTCAGCTCTTAATTAACCAATGGGAATAATACGTATTTACAGTGTACAAGATTATTTCCCAGCATTTTCCCTTTTTTGTGGTTATTTGGGAACTGGCTGGTGGGAAAGGAAAGTCCACCTACAAATGGCATTCAAATGTCCGGCACTTAATCCACATCAGACCTGAGGAGACTTTTAAAAGATTCTAAACACATAAAAACAGAGCCAAGGGCTGGAGAGATGGCTCAGAGGTTAAGAGCACTGACTGTTCTTCCAGAGGTCCTGAGTTCAATTCCCAGAAACCACATGGTGGCTCACAACCATCTATAATGAGATCTGGTACCCTGTCTGACCTGCAGGCATATATGCAAGGAGAATGCTGTGTACATAATAAATAAATCTTTACAAAAAAACAGAGCCAAACGTGGCTCCTGAGACTCATGTTTCTCATACCAGCTGCAGAATAGAGATTTGGTCCTAGCCACTGCCTGTGGGTTTGAGCCACCAGAACAAGCCCTGCCAGGGGCTATGAACTAAGCCACATAGCAGGTTTAAGGTTTGCTCATCCAGACAGAAGAAATTACAGATATGCAGTAAAGACAGATCCAAACTGAAAAAAAACTCTAAGTGGGTTATAATGTGTTTAAAAATGTGCATAGGTAGCCAGGCAGTGGTGGTGCACACCTTTAATCCCAGTACTTGGGAGGCAGAGGCAGGTGGATCTCTGTGAGTTCAAGACCAGCCTGGTATACAAGAGCTAGTTCCAGGACAGCCTCCAAAGCCACAGAGAAACCATGTCTCGAAAAAACAAACAAACAAAAAAAGAATTAAATTCAAATATCTCTTTCTAAAGGAAAAAAAGGGGATATGATATAAAAATGATGAGATAAAAGTATAGGTTATTGAATCTACTTTAATCCAAAAAACTATTAATCTTAAAATATTTTACATTGGTACAGATTTTGGTTTACTGATACAAATTTAAAGTTAACTTTGGTACACTATATGTATGTTTCTACTCTTGTTTGGGGCATTGTACTTATGCAACTCATTTAAAAATGTAATGTATACTTAAAAATATAAGTTAATAGTCATATATAATAATCAAACTTGTAACTATATTAGGTATGTTTTCAAGGTTAAACAGATATATTTAGATATATGGTCTTCAAACACTTCAAAGATATACAGAATATGGCATTTAATATGTTTAATAATCTAAAGCTTTTCATGGCAGTGAGACATGTCTGCTCCTGACAGCACCAATTTACTTCAAAAGAAGATGATGGGCATCAAAGAAACCCCATATGGAGCTTGTTTCTTCATGACAAAAGCTAGTCACTAGGCAAAGAAACTGCCCTTGCCTCAATTGCTGACAGTGTACTGTCCAAACTGGACCAGCAGGTTGCAAAAGAAAGCAACTGCCAAACTTTGCCAAGACAAGGTTGGACAGTCCTTCAGGATTCCATGCTTCTCAGAAACGTCTGTCAGATATTCTAGTTCTGGAGGCCAAAGTTGGATGCACCAACTTTACAGAAGAACTTTGAGTGATAACTGTCCAGGCAGCCAGATGTCCCTGTAACATTATACCCTTCTGGGGTCTTTGAGGGAATTAAAGACTAATTAGACTTAAAGTTTTCCTACTTTATGATAACAGGTAAATTAGATATAAAACTTTAGACTCACAAAGACAAGATAAATAATACAATATTTTCTCTAATGTTGCCAAATACAAATGGACTGGGGATATTGTAACAGTAATTCTTACTTGATAACTGTTTTGTTGTATATAGTTTTACTATATTAAAGTTAAAACCTTTCTTTTATTTAAACAAGAAGGGGGAAATACTGTGGAGTAATCCTTTTGTACACTGTGAAGTGTGTTGTTCTCATTATTAATAAAAAGTTGATTGGCTGACGGCTAGGCAGGATTTTTGGGGCAGAGAGAATTCTGGGAAGAAGATGAATAGAGTCAAAGGAGAGGCCATGAGACACAGAGCAAGAAGGAAGGAACAACCCTGTGTGTTTAATGTTCCAGGTCCCCCTACTGCAGTGGTCTCCACCTTCCCAATACTGTGACCCTTTCCCAATTCTGGTTCTCCTTTTGTTTTGAGACAAGTAAGACTACATAGCCCAGACTGGCCTGGAACTCACTGTCACCCTGCCTTATGTTGTGGTGACCCCCAACCATAAAATTATTTTCATTGCCACTTCATAACTGTACTTTTGCTGCTGTTATAAATTGTAATATAAATCTGTGTTTTCTAATGGTCTTAGGTGACCCCTATGAAAAAGTCATTTAACTCCAAAAGGGTCAAGACCCAAAGGTTCAGAACTCCTTCCAAAGTATGTATCTGTGAGTACAAAGACCCTGCATACCTCCTTTAGTAAGGAGTCAGAAGAAAAATTGTAGGAGGCGGTTGTGTTTGGTCACTTATGTGTCTTGTGTTCAGACATGCTCATGGGAAAGTTCTTATCAACCAGAGTGTGACTTTGTCTGAAGTTAGTGTTTTGTGAAACTGTTGAACTGGCTGACAACACCACAGCCTCACTATAGGAGCCAGGCTGGCTCCCAGCAGCACAAAGGCTTCAGGCAAGAAGTGCACGCCAGCTGCCAGGAACTACCTTTTCTTTTTCATTGCCACACTCGAGGGGGGGGTAGGGTAGGCAGCCCCCTCTTGTCAGAGCATCCCCTCATCACACTTTTTTTCTAATACCTTCCAACCCAACAGGTTCACTTTGCTTCTCCATACCTCTCCCTGTCCATGGCAAACACTTAGGTTTACACCCACACTAAGCAGTAAACGGGCTAGCTAGACCCAGAGAGAGGAGCTATGCCCAGATTTTCCAGTCGGTGACACGGTGGAAACTATAATGCTGACTTTGGTTTTCCATCCAGCAAAACTCCCTTCCAGACATCAGGACAGGCTGAGGGCATCAGCTTCTAAAGAAAAAAAAACTTCTCTTGTCCACAGTGCACTCACTCTGTCTTCTTTCTTCTCTTTAGGGATTCAACGGTAGGTCTCGCGGCAGCTGGGATTCTAAGATCTTCACTAGCCTGTCCAGCCATAAGCTTCCAATCTCCATGTTCCTGCCTAATGGTTCTCCTTTTGTTTTGAGACAGGTAAGACTACGTAGCCCAGGCTGGCCTGGAACTCACTGTCACCCTGCCACAGGCTCAAGGGCTAAAATTGTACAGTCACACCTAGCTCAGGTTTCTATTCGCCCTTCTCTGCCTGAAACTGTCTTTATCCCCAGATGCTTCTTTTCACCATCACCTTCTCCGTCGATCCGTCGAGCCCTCCAACCTGGGCGTCCTACTCCTCTGTCACTACTTCCCCTGGGGGCCTTATGGCCTCATTGGAGAACTTTCTTTGTTTTTGTTTTTTTCAAGACAGGGTTTCTCTGTATTGTTTTGGAGGCTGTCGGTCCAGCCCGGCCTCGAACTCACAGAGATCCGCCTGCCTCTGCCTCCCGAGTGCTGGGATTAAAGGCGTGCGCCACCACCGCCCGGCCCCTTTCTTTGGTTTTTGTTGACTGTTTTTCCTACAGTCTGTCAAGTGCACTGTGCTGGGGCAGGGAAAACCATGGCCAACATCCAGCCCTCTGAACCTGTTTCTTTTCAAGCGGATGAAGTGCTCCGCAAACTGAGACCGTCGCGGGCTGAGAGGTCATCTCTGTTTCCACGCACAAGGAGCAACGGGACCGGGCGCTTTCTCAATCTAGGCTTCCGGTCCCCGAGAACGTCTCTCCGCACGACAGACCGCAAAGGCACCCGCAAATCGCGCTTGCTGCAGCTCTTGGCCCCGCCCCCGAGCCACGCCCCCCGCTCCGGCCTGGCCGCGCCTGCGCAGCTGCCCGCGCCGGCTTCCGGGTGGAGCGAGAGCGCGATGGGGCGGAGGGTGGACGTCGCGGAGTAGCTGCGGCGAGTGGGCGTGTGCTCCGAGCGGTCGGGCGCCCGCGCTGGAGTCGCGGGGTCTCTGAGAGCCGGTCCGGGACGCGGAGAGAGCCTGCGACTGCCACCCGCGTCCGCCCGCTAGCATGTCGGCCGAGGCCTCTGGCCCGGCGGCGGCTGCGGCCGGATGTCTGGAGTCCCCTAAACCCTCGGGTGTGGAGCCTGGCTCCCCCTCGTACAGTCTGAAGCCCCTGACCCCGAACAGCAAGTATGTGAAGCTGAACGTGGGCGGCTCGCTGCACTACACCACGCTGCGCACCCTCACTGGGCAGGACACCATGCTCAAGGCCATGTTCAGCGGCCGCGTGGAGGTGCTCACAGACGCCGGAGGTATGCGTGCCGCCGGTACACGTGCTGCCCTCCAGCCCCCAGTTCGTTCCCGGTTCCCCGTCCCAGCTTATCTTTTTCTTATTCAAAGTCTTCCTCCTTCCCCAGTCCTTTACTTCCAGCAGTAACCTCTGCCAAACACTCCATTGCGGATGATCTTCTCTTCTCCCCTTAGTTCAGAAAGCCTAGGACCAGCATCCCTCCGACAACCTTTACCACTTTCTTCCCACTCACTGCCCAGCCTTTTGTTTGCCTTTCCGCCTTAGAACCGCCAACAGGCAGCCTGCAGAACTGAACGATATTGTGTGTCTGTCTCTAACACATGCCCCTGCACTCTCTAGGAATCACCTATAAATGCAGATTGTAGGAGAAGGCTGCTTTGGGTTTACAAGGGATCTGAGCGAAGGGTGGTGAAGTTCAGATTTCAAATACCGACGAGGAAGGGATCAGTTATTTGACAAGTATTTATGAAGAGCCAATTAGTGCTAGAGAAGGTTTGGTAAAGGGATCTGATGAGTCTTATGGAGTTACCACGGAGGGGGGGAAGGGTGGCTGGGGAGGGCATTGGGTGGTAATGACCAGTAAACCAGAAAATCATGTAATAATAATGTAGAGTAAGTTCTTTGAATAATGTCATTATCATATTATTGTGGTGAACTAGAGGGTTGAGGTGGACATTTTCATTTAAATGAATTGATTAAAATTAGTAGACGGGGGGGGGCCCGCTGGAGAGGTGGCTCAGCGGTTAAGAGCACTGACTGCTCTTCCAGAGGTCTTGAGTTCAATTCCCAGCAACCACATGGTGGCTCACAACCATCTACAATTCAATCTGGTGTATATGTAATAAATAAATCTTAAAAAAATTAGTAGACAGGGTTAAGAAGTTTATTGATAAGGTAATTCGGTAAGAATTTTCCCATGGTAAGCTTGGTTTGGTGGCTATAATGCTAGCTCTCAGTCTGGGCTTTATAGTGAGATCAAGTCTTAACATCTGGCTCTGGAGAGGGAGCTGGAATTGACATGTGAAGCAAGTTTGTTTCTAATTTAAAGAAAAGAAAATTTCACTAAAAAAAATTAAAAAAACAACTGTCTCTACGTAGTGGTGGTGCACACCTTTAATCCCAGCACTCAAGAGGCAGAGGCAAGCCGATCTCTGTGAGTTTGAGGAATCCAAGACAGCAAAGGCTTCACAGAAAAACACCGTGAAAAACAAAACAATAACAAAAAGACTTGCCCATGGTGAGAGCCTTTTGACTGTCCAGCAGACTTGGGAGGGAGTTATTCTGTGGCAGGTGTGTGTATGACTCACTAGAGATGTTTGAAAGAGTTCTTGGCTATGACAAAGGTTTGAAACAGATAAGTATTTAGGTTTTCTTTTGGCTTTGGAATTCATTTATCAAAATGCATTAGCGTCAGCCCCCACTCACCAAGCCATCCTTCCTTTTGCCTTTTCCCATCCCACCAGGTTGGGTGCTGATTGACCGGAGTGGCCGCCACTTTGGTACAATCCTCAACTACCTGCGGGATGGGTCTGTCCCACTGCCTGAGAGTACTAGAGAACTCGGGGAGCTGCTGGGTGAAGCCCGATACTACCTGGTCCAGGGCCTGATTGAAGACTGCCAGCTGGCACTGCAGGTGAGAGTTCACCCCACCGTCCGAGCCCCTGTGCCCCCTTTCTTTCTTGGGAGAGCTATCCAGTAGATTGCTATTACAGCAGAAGTAAGAGCGAGATGATCTGGAGAGCCTAGCTCAGACTAGGCATAACCCCCAGGCCTTTGGGGTTTGGGGTGCCATCCTCCGAGGCATCCCTGCAACCTGAGGCAGGGCTGCAATACTCCTGGTGTCAGGACTGTTGTCATTAGAAACCCCTGCTCTGTGGTCGCAGCTGTCCCTACCTCCCGAGTCATTGAACACAACCCCAGTTCATCCTCTCCTTTGCTCCGAAGGCTTGAGCCACAGTTGGAGTGCTGTGGAAGTCAGTCCCAGGCTGGCTTTCTGCCAGTTTTCTCCTTTTCCACCATGTGCATTCTGGGGATGGAGCACTGGTCATCACATTTGGCCACTGAGCCATTTCACCAGCCCACTCCCACCACCTCTTAGTTTAAGTTGGAATGTAGTAACCTTGGTGATCTGGTCCTGCCCCAGGAGGCAGCACACCCCATATCCCCACCCCGTGCCTCCCAACCCTTCAGGGCTTAAAGATTTTTTTTCCAATGGTGAAATTCTTTCCTCAAATGAAGTATCATAGAAGTGGAGCCAAACTCCATAAACAGGGTTGGGGATTTCCAGGCCCTTCCCACCTGCTCTGTTCCGCTCATATAGGTTCTAAGGCTCCCCTCAGGATCCAGACTATCTCTGCCATGCCTTGGTCTCTCAGTTTCTACCTCTAGCATTCTGTTCTCATGTTTTGAAAGATAAATAAGAAAAATAAATATAATGTAGTAAATATTAATCAACTTTTTTGTATTGTTCAGGGTCTTTGTAATAATACAGTAGTAGATTATAAGTTGTATATCTTGAATGCCTGTTATAAATTAAAAAGTGGAGACTGAACTACTTTTCTTTCTACTAATACTTACTGCTTTTATTTTATTTATTTATTTATTTTTTGTTTTTTCAAGACAGGTAGCCCTACCTGTCCTGGAACTCTCTCTGTAGACCAGGCTGGCCTCAACTCAAAGCACTTGGGAGGCAGAGTCAGGCAGGTCTCTTTGAGTTGAGGCCAGCCCTTTACCTCCAGCAACAACCCATCAGCTATATGTCAGATGCTTTCTTTCTACCATGTAGGTCCTGGGGATTGAACTCAGGCCTTCGGGCTTGGTGGCAAGCTGGTTTACCACCAAGCCTCCTCACTGGCCTCCTTATTGGTACTTGAAATCCAAAAAAGAATAGAATTCTTTTGAACAATATACATATCTTTCAAACTTCTTTATCTGAAGCTCATAGGAAAAAAATTCATTTTGTGCTTGTATAATTGTGAAAGGGTGCTTTTGTTTTTTGTTTTTGTTTTTTGTTTTTTTTCTTTGGTTTTTCAAGACAGGATTTCTCTGTATTGTTTTGGAGGCTGTCCTGGAACTCACTCTGTAGACCAGGCTGGCCTCGAACTCACAGAGATCCGCCTGCCTCTGCCTCCCAAGTGCTGGGATTAAAGGCGTGCGCCACCAACGCCCGGCACTGGTTTTGGTTTTTTGAGACATGGTTTCTCTGTATTGTTTTGGAACCTGTCCTGGGACTCGCTCTGTAGACCAGGGTAGCATCGAACTCACAGAGATCTGCCTGCCTCTGCCTCCTGAGTGCTGGGATCAAAGGCGTGCACCACCAACACCCAGTCTATGAAAGGGTGCTTTAATGAAATGTCCCTTAATATATTGCTTCCTTCACTTGCTCCCTTCTCTGTCTCTATAATGTTTGAGACCTATTATACTTACTTTATGACCCATTAAAGAGTTACCATGTAGCAGTTTGAAAAATACTGAATTATATCTTTTTAAAATAAATTTTTTTGAGGAGTGGCATGTACCACATATATGTGTGGAGGCCAGAGGTCAGTGTTGGAGAATGGATTCATTTCTACCTTGTGGGACCCAGGGAGTGGGAGATCACATTCTGATTGTCAGGTTCTGCTTCCTTTCCCCCTCTGAGCCATCTGGCTGGCCCTGACCTAGATCTTGGAAGTACAGTCCTGCTCAGTTACCTTATCTTATATTTTTAAGACAGGGTCTAGCTGTGTAGCCCAGGTTGGCCTCCTGAGTGCTGGGGTTACAGGTATGCATGACTGGTTCTGCTCTGTGATTGAAGTTGAACAAATGTCATTGCACACCCACTGTCAGGAGGGATTTTGCTGTTTGCTTGCTGGTACATCTTGTACCTTTGGTTAACCTACATAGATACAAAGAAACATTAGGGCTGCATTAAAGTCAGTGAGTTCGGTTTCAGCTCCAGGTTATCTGACTCCCAAGTGTGGCTCTTCCTTTCCAGGCTCCAGCAGCTTCTTCCCACCCAGCCCCCCAGCTCTACGGAGTCCTCAGAGCATGCCAGAGCATCACTGGTCTAGGCAAATCTTTTCTCTTTCAGTTTTGTCCCCTCCCCATTCATCCCAATCCCTTGTCCATGTCCCCAACTACTACCCCTGTCTGATCCTAATGTGTTGATACATATTCTTGGTTTATATCTCTTCCCTCGAAAACTAAAGCTTTTTGTGCACATGCTTTTGTGTGTACATGGTTACATAAATGTCATAAAGTAGCTGTGGATCCTGTTGCTGTTTTTCCCTCTCCACTTGCGGGATCCAGTCACACTGCGTGGACTGCTGCACATGAACCCATGCTGCTTGCCCACCATATTCATGCATTCTCCTGAGTTTGGAGCCTGCTCTCTCTTTCCTGCCCCCCACAAACAGTGCTACTGTGAGCATCCTATATGTGTCCCCTTCTGGCCCTATTTGAATTTCTTACAATATAATTAGCTAGAGAATTATTAGGCTGTTGGATACCTGCAAGCCAGATTGCAGTTTTCACAGATGGTTATATTGCTTTATCCTGCTGACGGCAGTGCTCAAGAAACCTCATCCTGGCAATTCTTAGTAAGCCTTGCCATCCTCCACCTTTCTAATTTTACCATGCTGATGTGTGGTACGGAGTGATCTCATTACTAATGAGGTTGAGTGTCTTTCTCATACACACTCACTCGCCTTTTTTTGGAGTCTCCTTCTGCGATTGCTTCACATATTTACCAGATTTTCTTCCCAGTTTCTTGTCTTCTTGTTGCTTAATGGGAAATCCTTGAATATTTTTAGTGTGGTTCCTAGGAGAACTAAGTCATATTACAAAAGAGCATGTATTACACATTCTTTAAAGTATGTATTAATATGAAAAAAATTGTCTTTTTTTCTCTTGAGCATCAGTGATACTACTGTATGCCATGCTTGAGACCAGAAGATACTTAGATTGCCAGGACTGTAAATTCAGGGCCAACAAGAGTTACATAGGAGCTGGGCATAGGTATGCACACCTTTAATCTCAGCACTGGGGAGGCAGAGGCAGATGGATCTCTGAATTTCGTGTCAAGACAGCCAGGGCTACACAGAAACCCTGTCTCAAAAAAAAAAAACCCTTCAAATTTTTTCTGGTTTTAAGGGTCGGGTTTAGGTATTGTCAGTATTTCTCTTGGAACTTCGCTTGTCTGTGGAATAGAGGTGTGTGTTTATTGTTTTTATTAAATTTTATTCAGTTCTGTGTGTGTGTGTGTGTGTGTGTGTGTGTGTGTGTGTGTGTGCCGTAGTGTGCATGCAAGTGGGAGGTCAAAGAGCCACTGTGGGAGCCAGTCCTCTCCTTTCAGCAAGTGTGCCCTGGGACCAGACTCAGGTTGTCGGGCCCAGGGACATGCGTCTTTATGTACTGAGCCATCTTCCCGGCCTGAGATCCTTGAACTTTTACATGACAAATAGCTGTTTATTTGTATGTATATTGTTACGTGTGTGGGAGTGTATACACATGTGTGCATGAGAGTATGGAGGCCAGAGGTTAACATCAAATGTCTTCCTCAGTCACTTTCCACATTGTTATTTATTATTTCTGATTTTAATTAATTAATTATTTAAATATTTGAGACAAGGTCTTATTTGGCCTGGAACATGCTGTATGGGCGAGACTGGCCTCAAACCCCCAGAGATTTGCTTCCGGCTCCTGAGTATTAGGATTGAAGACTGCGCACAGCTTCTGCCTTACTGTTTTTTTGTGTTGTTTTTTTCGAGACAGGGTTTCTTTGTACTGTTTTGGAGACTGTCCTGGAACTCGCTTGGTAGACCAGGCTTGGTCTCGAACTCACAGACATCCACCTGCCTCTGCCTCCCGAGTGCTGGGATTAAAGGCGTGCGCCACCACCGCCTGGCTCCAATACTATTTTTTTAAAAGCAGTATTATCAACTGTAGAAATTTAGAAAATGGATCACTGAAAAAATAAGAGATCAATTTTTTCTAGGTTTTTTGTGTATGTGCTCACATGTATGTGTTTGTTCACTAAAATATGGCCATGTTGTATGTATTGTTTTATATACTGCTTTTTTGACATTGTTAATAATTGATAACTTTCTATGCCAATAAAGTTTTAATCTAACATCCAGGACATATGCTCCAGCTTCTCCAGTTCTGCCTGAAATGTGTTAAGCAGTTCATTTAAACCAAGAACTGTAGTCAAGAGCTTCACATTGTGTCTGGCGATGTTCTGTAAGTTTCTTCCAATCTGGGACAGCCTGGGTTTTTGTTTGTTTTCTTAAAAAGCTGAGTTGTGAAAGACACTGCCTATACAATGGTCTGCTTACCAAATTTGCCTGATTGTCCAGTCCTGGTGTCACTCTGTGCAAATCCTGATATATCCTGAATTTCCTATTAATTAGACCATAAATTTACAGGTTTTGTAGTAAGCATTTTGGTTAGAGTACATTCTAGGAGGTGTAGTGTTTTCATACTGTATTACATCAAAACACCCATGATGTGGCTAATATGACTAATATGCTCACCATTTGTCCCTGAATTCAGATAAGTTGAATCTTCCATTGTAGTTACATTTCCTTGTTGTCAACTATAAATTCATCTGTGTGGTATTAATTTGGGCATTGTGCAAGTGGCAGTTGCCTGTCAACAACACACCAATTGATATTCCTTGCCCGAGTTAGTAATTTCATAAGGGTTATGGAATAATTACAGGTTTAGCATTTCTTCAGTATTGTTCCAAGCGTTCACTTTAAAGTTGTGCTTTGCACTGTCACCTGAGCAATTCTTGACAGTAACAGGTCAAAGCAGCATTTCCCCAGTGGTGTATGCATCCTTGGTGGTGGGAGGAGGGTTACTTAGGGTTTTCTTTTTTTTTTTTTTAATATTTTATTTATTTATTATACAATCTTCTGCACGCCAGCAGAGGGCACCAGATCTCATTCAAGGTGGTTGTGGTTGTGAGCCACCATGTGGTTGCTGGGAATTGAACTCAGGTCCTCTGGAAGAACAGTCAGTGCTCTTAACCGCTGAGCCATCTCTCCAGCTCCGACTTAGGGTTTTCTTGCTATCCTACTTTTTTTGTTAGCTTTATACTTTTATATACAGATCTTTTTATATAAGGACTTTAAAAAAGATTCTGTGTGTGTGTGTGTGTGTGTGTGTGTGTGTGTGTGTGTGTGTGTGTGTGTGTGTTGCCTGCATTGTATGTATGTGGACCACATGCATGCCTGGTATAGCTGTAGTTAAGGATGGTTGTGAGTCATCATGCAGGTGCTGGAAACTGAACATGGATCCTCTGCAAAAGCAGAAAATCTCAATGAAACTTACTTTTGTAAATTATAAAGGGACTTAACGTGTGTGTGTGTGTGTGTGTGTGTGTGTGTGTGTGTGTGTGTGTGTGTGATTTCTCTGTGTAATAGTCCTGGAGCTTGATTTATAGACCAGGGTCACCTTGAACTCCTCAGCCTCCTAAGAACATCATTGCAGGAATGTGCTACCACATCTGCTGAAATGATAGCTCTTATAAGAATCTTAAGATTGCATGTCCTACCAGGCAGTGATGGTGCACGCCTTTAATCCCAGCACTCAGGAGGTAGAGGCAGGCGGATCTCTGTGAATTTAAGGGCCAGCCTGGTCTACTAAAGCTAGTTCCAGCACAGCCAGGGCTGTTAAACAGAGAAACCCTGTCTTGAAAAATAACACCAAAGAAAGATTGCAATGTTTTGATGGATACACCTTTAATCCCGGAACTCAGAGACAGAGGCCTTAGAATGAGAACCAGGCAAAGAAAAAGTAAAAATTTTAAAAAGGCGGCCGGGCAGTGGTGGCGCACACCTTTAATCCCAGCACTCGGGAAGCAGAGGCAGGCGGATCTCTGTGAGTTTGAGGCCAGGCTGGACCGACAGCCTCTAAAACAATACAGAGAAACCCTGTCTCATAAAACCAAAAAAAAATTTTTTTAAAGGCAGCTTAACATGTGGAGCCTCTCAGCAGCCTAGTTACAAGCCCAAAGTAGTCAAAAGCTCTCTCTCTCTCTCTCTCTCTCTCTCTCTCTCTCTCTCTCTCTCTCTCGTAGAGGTTATGGGTATGACATGAGCCCCAAGACTTAGAAGACAATACGTATCTTAGACTTTGTCAGGGACATCACCCACCTGGATTTAAAAGTACAGCTACAGCCAAAGCCAAAGCTTTGGACAGTGAAACTTGTGCATGTGAGAAGCAGGCTGAGAAAACCCGGGCTATGAGCATCTCTTGGGAAAAGAATAATAGCTCTGGGTATTGGAACCATGTGAATCATACCTGGTCAGGATGGGTATCAAAGGGTTCCCAATGTTTGTCCCAGTGATTTGCAAACTCTAGGACCAGTGACTTCTGTCCTGTTGTCTTGTCTTACCCTTTTAAACAAAGACATTCCTAGTAGGTGAGAGACAAAATGTCTGTAGTTCACAGCTCTTCAGGTAGGAGAAAAAAATGCCCTTCATAAGCTGAAGTTGGTGAGCTGTATCCAGATGGCTTCATTCCAACCTGAACCTGGTTTAGATTTTCTGTGCTTTGAGGTATCAATGTAATGGATGAGACTTGGTTTTGTTTTTTGGGTTTTTTTGTTTGTTTTTGCATGTGAATCCATCCTTGAGACAGCCCCCAAGTGACTTGAGGCAGATGAAACTAGTCATAAAAGACAAGGAGACATCCATTTTCTCTTCTGCATTGTTTCCTCTGGATAAACCAGCTGTTAGGTTATAAAGATGCTCAAGAAAGCTGGGCGTTGGTTGCACACACCTTTAGTCCCAGCACTCCGGAGGCAGTGAGTTCAAGGCCAGCCTGGTCTACAAGAGCCAGTTCCAGGACAGCCTCCAAAATCACAGAGAAACCCTGTCTCAAAAAATAAAACAAAACAAAAACAACAACAAAAGATGCTCAAGCAAACGTACAGAGAGGCCTAGGTGACAAAGTTTTGAGCCTTTGTGTAGCAGCCATATTTCTCAGAGTGATCCTCGGAGGCAGTCTTGCCTTCGGATTCCTGCAGCCCTGGCTGTACATGCTCCATGGGAGAACATGTGCCAGAGGGCCTCGGCCATTCCTGAATGAATTCCTGACCCACGGGAAAAGGAGGTCATAAACACCTTTTGTTAATTTAAGCTGTGATGTCTGGGGCTATTTGTTACAAAGCGATAGATAGTGCACTCTGCTTCCTGCACTTACCCCTCCTCAGTTCAACTGTGTGCACTATCTCTGTCCAGGCTCTGTGTACACTATCTCTTTCCAGGCTCCGTGTACACTATCTCTTTCCAGGCTCCATGTACACTATCTCTTTCCAGGCTCTGTGTACACTATCTCTGTCCAGGCTCTGTGTACACTATCTCTGTCCAGGCTCCGTGTACACTATCTCTGTCCAGGCTCTGTGTGCTTCATTGTGAGCTTTGTCTCTGCACCAAAACTATTGTTTTCATGTCTCTGTGTCTTACAGAGTTAGCACTTCAAAATTGACTTAGTAATTGCAAACTTTATGCTTCTGTTGTTTGTTTTTCTTGTGTTTTGAAATAGTCATATTCAGTAGGCCAGGCTGGTTTCAAACTTGATAACTATTTGCCTCTGCCTCCCAAGTGCTTGATTGCAGGTGTACACATTCCTGGCTTTTCATTGTTTTTATTTTGAGATAATATTGATGCAAAGTCCTGGATAGCAACAAACTCTCACTGTAGACCAAGCTAGCTTTGCATTTGTGGCTGTGCTCAACATTTACCTCCTGAGATTACAGGTTTACTGTTTTTCAACTGTAGATTTTTGAGAGTGAGGTCTGTCTAGCTATGTTGTCTAGGCTGCTCTCACATTCCCAAGTTTAAGCAGCCTCCCACCTCACCTTCTTTGTAGCTGGACCTTAAGGCACCTGCTGCCATGCCTATCTTTCCACATTAATTTTACACACACACACACACACACACACACACACACACACACACACACACACACACAGGTGGCCACACCTTTAGTCCCAGCACTCAGGAAGCAGAAGTAGGTGGATCTCTAAATTTGAGGCCAGTCAGAACTATTGAGAGACCTTGTCTCAAAACAAACGAGCAAACAGAATTCTTAATCTCTCCAAAATGCCTGTTGGTGGTAGCACACACCTTTAATCTCAGCACTTGGGAAGCAGAGGCAGTCGATCTCTTTGAGTTCAAGGCAAGTTCCAGGACAGGCTCCAAAGCTACACAGAGAAACCCTGTTTCTAAAAACAACAACAACAACAACAAAATCTCAAAAAATAACTTCTGTAATTTGTCTCAGAATTGTACCTTCAGAGACAGAGGTAGTCTGACATACTCCAACGTTTGGGAAGCTGGAGCAGCAGATAGTTTAGGTTTTTTTGTTTGTTTTTGAGACAGGCTTTCACTATGTAGATCAGGTCTCATTCACAGAGATCTACCTGAATCTGCCTCCCAGAGTGCTGGGATTGAAGGTGTGTGCTCCACTATTGGCAGATTGAAGCAAGAGATTGCAAATTCAAGGTCAGCCTGAGCAATTTAGCCAGGCTGTTTTGATTTTTTGTTGTTTTGCTGTTTTGTTTTGTTTTTTCGAGACAGGGTTTCTCTGTATTGTTTTGGAGGCTGTCCTGGAACTCGATCTATAGACCAGGCTGGCCTCAAACTTACAGAGATCCGCCTGCCTCTGCTTCCCGGGTGCACCACCAACGCCTGGCCGGCTGTTTTGATTTTTAAGAAGGGTGAAGGATATCGGTCAGTGATGGTAGAATACTTGCTTGGTATTCCCTCATGGTCCTGGTCCAACATCCAGCATCCAGCACTGCAAAAATAAACAGCCTCATTGTACTCAGCCAGGCTTATTCATTCAGCAGATGTATGCTGGCCATCCCTTGGACAGTCCTCAGGAAGAGCATACACGTATAGAACAAATGCAGAATTAAGTACTGTGAAGAAAAGGGACCAATATTCTGAGTGCAAGGACTCTACGGTAGTGAGGCACTGGAGCGGGGCTGGCGCTGTTCTCGTCAGCATGCTGAGTTGAGAACTGAGGGTCATTAGCTTGCACATAGCTCAGTGGAGCACACCCCAGGCAGGCTGACCAGTACAGAGTCCGGGAAGGAACAGCAGGTTGGCAGGGTAAGGATAGAGTTGTGGGGAGGGTACCAAAGTCCAGCCTGTTTGGGGAATTCTAGAACTAAAACGAGAGTGGTCACATCCCCATGAGCCTTAGAGATACTAAAGAGTGTGTTTCCAACCCCCAAGCAGCTTCAGAGGGCCTTTACATAAGTGGAATGTGAACACCGGTTGTACTGCTAATCACCTCCACTTCCTCCCCAGCAAAAAAGGGAGAACCTGTCTCCGCTGTGCCTCATCCCCACAGTGACATCACCCCGGGAAGAGCAGCAGCTCCTGGCCAGCACCTCCAAGGTGAGGCCCTGGAACCCAGTGGGTTGCGGGGGTAGTTGAAGGCTGCTGTCCTCTCCCAGTCTCTTGACTCCATCCTCCTTCCGCTTTCCCCTGCAGCCTGTGGTGAAACTTCTGCACAACCGCAGTAACAACAAGTACTCCTATACCAGGTGAGTGCTGGGGACATGGGTGTGTCTGCATGTGTTCATGCACTGGGGACATGGGTGTGTCTGGATGTGTTCACACACTGGGGACATGGGTGTGTCTGCGTGTGTTCACACACTGGGGACGTGGGTGTGTCTGCGTGTGTTCACGCACTGGGAACGTGGGTGTCTAGTGTTCACTGGGTGGAATCCTAGGGTTGAGCAGGGCTCTGCTCCTGCTCCTCAGAGGAGTATGGTCACATGAAGAGACTATAGAATGCCTGCCTTTTGAATGCCCCATTCCAGCTGTGCCACCTGCCACCCATAAATGAGGGTTAGGCCAAGATTATAATGGCTGGCATAGGCTACCTCCTTATTTCCCAGCAGGATTGGTCTCAGTGTCTGTTGACTTATTCACTCTCCCAATGGTCTCTGGAAGTGTTGCTCTCCATCTAGAGATGATATTGTGGCATCAGGAGATAAAATAACCTGCTTCATGTTGCTGAGTTAAAATGTAGCAGAGCTGGAGTGCCTGGGGACAGCCTAGTTGAGGGCCTGCACCAGGAGCCTCTGTGCTGTGCAGTGATTTGCTCAGCAAATGCTTCCCTTCTGAGAGGCCTACACTGTTGGAAGTCCCCTGCTGAACAGGACTGGAGTGCTGGGAATCTGGGTGCCTCTGGGGGGAGCTGAGGGAGGGAAGACAGTTTGTCACCTAAGGCCTGCTGGACCCTGGTCCTCAGCACTTCAGATGACAACTTACTGAAGAACATCGAGCTGTTTGACAAACTAGCCCTGCGCTTCCATGGGCGGCTGCTCTTCCTCAAGGATGTCCTGGGGGACGAGATTTGCTGCTGGTCTTTCTACGGGCAGGGCCGAAAAATCGCCGAAGTGTGCTGTACCTCCATAGTCTATGCCACGGAGAAGAAGCAGACCAAGGTCAGAGGGGACTAGGGAGGGCTGGGAGGTAGGGCCCGGACCCTAGACAGAGCAGATCAGCAGGTCAGGCAAGGGCAAGATCTTTGGTGGGCATCCAGGACCAGAGTTCTAGGGCCCTGGCTGTATAGCTTGGGTAGGTCTCACTTCAGTGACGTTTCTCTACCTGGGAAATGAGGCTGCTAGAGCAGAACCAGGTTCTGTTTTGCTTTGCTTTGGTTTTGATGCTAGGTATTCAGCCTCAGTCCTTTTTTAGAAACATGGTTGGTTTTTGTTGTTGATTTTGTTTATTTTTGTTTTGTTTTTCAAGACAGAGTTTCTCTGTGTAAGCCTGGTTATCCTGGAATTCTCCCTGTAGACCAGGCTGGCCTGGAACTCAGAGATCCTCCTGTCTCTGCCTCCCAAATGCTGGGATTAAAGATGTGTGCCATCACTGACCAGCTAATTAGTTAAATTTTAAAGTATCCCAGTACCCACCCTGTGTTAGGCACTGCCCCCGACTCCAAACCAGACACAGCATGTTGAACAGAGTGCAAGTCCCCACTCAGTGGTATGTGATGAGGAGTCTTTCTCCTTTCCCTGTCAGCTAATGAACTTAGGCTTTCAGACCCAAGCCAAGCGTCATTTTTCTTAGGACACTGTTGCTCGTGAAATTTCAATGCAACTGCCTCAGATAAAGTTGGTCAGACTTCCTTCTGGCTGGACAAAATGTTGTAGAGTAGGGTAGAACAATGACCGCAGAGCAGTGCTGTACCTTCTCCTGTCTGATGCCCCTAGCTAATATTAGCCTGGTATCTGTCACTTAGTGGAAGTTGTTGTTAATTAAGGAACCAGGAAATATTGATCAAAGGCATGAATAGATACCTCAGCCTCCAGAAGTTTTTGTTGTTGGTTTTTTGTTTTTCTTTCCTTCAATTAGGAAGACAGGAAGACATAAACGGTTAGGACGTAGCTTGAGGGGAGGGTGTGGCGGTGCATGCCTGTAAGTCCACCTAACTGAGAGGCTGCCTCACTTAGTTTGCTGGCTGGCCTTGTGCAAGAGGACTGCAAGGTCAAGGCCATCTTGGGTAGCAAGACCTGTCTTCAAATCATGGATTCATTAATAAACAAACAAGGGGATGGGCATAGCTCAGCAGTAGCTGGTCCAGCATGCCAGAGTACTGGAAGAAGGACGGCAAGCTGTGTTCACTATACCCTTCTGAGACTGCCCAGCAGATGCCGCTTTCCCTACTCCACTTCCCTGCTTTTCCTCATCACTTTGTCTTGGCATTTGAGACAAATTCCTGACCAAACCTTTACACTCCTTGCTGCTGCTCCTCAGTGTGCTTTCTCTGTCTGTCTGCCTCCTTCTCTCAAATTGGTTAAACACATTCCCAGTAAGGCCTTGCCTGAACTCCCTCCTGAAAGATGTAACACTCCAGGGATGGCCAGTCTCACCCCTTTTCCTCCTAACTTTCTGCATACAATGCCATCACCTGACTTAGTGTATGTTCTAGGAAATATATCTGTGTCCTCCCTCTAGACTGCCAATGTGCTTAGGGCAAGCATTTATCACTGCTATGATCCTGATGCTTAGAACAACCCCTGGAATAGTGGCAGGTACTCAGGGTTTGTTAAATTAAAGAGTATTCCAAGAGATTGGGCAGTAAAGGATAACCGCCTGCCTTTGGGGCCTGGAGGAGAGCCAGGGCCACTGGGAAAGGGCTGTGGGTCTGGGTCAGAGGGTAGAAGCTACAGGTTGCTGGCCTTTTTCAGGTGGAATTCCCTGAGGCTCGGATTTTCGAGGAGACACTGAACATCTTGATTTATGAGACTCCCCGTGGCCCAGATCTAGCTCTCTTGGAGGCCACAGGGGGTACAGCTGGAGGTGGTGGGGCAGGCCGAGGAGACGATGAAGAGAACCGAGAGCACCGTGTCCGGAGGATTCATATTCGCCGCCATATCACCCACGACGAGCGTCCTCACGGCCAACAGATTGTCTTCAAGGACTGACCTTTGATCTCTCCCATCTTCCTCTTGCTTGTGGGACCCAGTCCCTCTCTTTCTTTGCCCCGGCTTTGCTGGCCAAGCCGTGGGTCTTCCCTCTGTCCCTTCATTGCATGCTGTGTTCAGTGAGACCCTTTCCAGTCATTGCCACTCACTGCTAACAACACGGTACATTCCAGCACTCCCCTCAGGTGGGGTTCTTCAGGAAGCCAGCATCCACCCCTCTTCTACATCCTTGTTCTGCTGTCTTCCTCTTACCATCTGGGTTAGAGACACAGAGTTCCCTTCTCTTTTGTTAATACATGAGAACACATGTAGAGACCTTAGTACCATAGACTGCATTCCAAGCTGCTTTCGGCCATTGCACAGCGCTGTTCGTTCCCTCCTGCCTCACCGCTCTCCCTACCTCCCTAACTTTGTACTAGGCTGGCCTGGACCTATACCAGCTCGGCTCTCTTGACCTGGTTCATATTATTTATTTTAATTTTCTATTAAATTATTGGAATAAAGTTGAGCTGAGGGTCTGCTGCTGACTCTTGGGTGAGGGATGAGAAAATGGCCTGTGTTAAGGGATGCCTGGCTGTTAGTGTGGTAGGAACATGTGTCCCTGCCCTGAGCTCTAACATGGGACTGGTAACTTGGGAAGGAAGGAGTCAGGAGGTAGGAGAGGATTCAGAATTTGTATTTCAGTGCTGACGGCGTCAGCACACCCTCCTGCCCCCCCCAGTGGAAAGGAAGCCCTGACCACCACTCAAGGGTCCTGGGTGCAGCATCACTCCAGCTCAGGTGCCAGAAGGGAGCAACATCTTTCAAGGGTCCGGTGCGAAGACAAAGTCCAGAGCTTGGCGTTCAGCCCCAGCCACGTTGGGGTGCCAGAGGTCCACAATGAAGACCACTCGAGGCCCATCTTCAGGGGATCCTAGGGCACATAGGGATGGAGACAGCAGCTGATACCAAGTACTTTTCTGCCAAGGCATTCACGCCAGGCACTGAGGAAAGCAGGCCAGGCCCGAGGCAGTATTTTAGTTGTTCATATAAGGCAGGGTCTCATCATGTAGCCCAGCCCTTGAACTCACCATCCTCCTGGTTCAGTCTCCTGAGTGCAGGTGCTGAGTTCATAGGTGAGTGTCACCATACCTGGTATTGTCCTAACCCTTCTTATTGATAACTCTATGTGCCTAAAATGGGCACATTTTATGCCAACTGAGACGTAAGGTTAAGTAAATGCCTGAGGTCCCAAGGCAAGAGTTGGACAGGAGCAGACAGTCTCGCTCATAGTCCTGTGCCGATAGACTTGGACAGGAGCAGACAGTCTCGCTCATAGTCCTGTGCCTTTGATAGCCACATCATACACAGTCACCTGGTAAGGAAGGCAGATGCCCCTCAGGTGATTGGAGATTGGGGAAGCTGTGGTTTGCCCAAGGCTGTGCAGCACCAAAATGGTACCACTCAGTCAAAGTTGGCTGGAACTCCTCAGCTCTGTGGTCCCTCAGCCCCAACCCAGCCAAACATGAATCCGTTACCATTATGAGCCACTGTGTGCAGGAAGGAGTCATCCACCAGGAGACAGTGCCCTTCAGCCCAGCACTGAGGTTCACCACCAACAACCAGCTCGCAGCCAGGGGGGATCTTCAGGCCTATGAGGAGAGATGGGTATACAAGAGCCTACCCACTCAGAGGGCCTTACAGGCCAGGTTCTGTGGTCCTCTCAAAGGTGACGGGGGCATTCACAACACAGTCCTATCTGAAGGATACTAAGACTGCAAATGCTACTGTGAGACATTTGGAGAAGAGCTCCCCTAAGCAGTCTCCTCCTGGACTTTCGGTCAGTCCAGTTCCAGAACCTACTATGTGCTGGGAACTTCTCCCATGAGGTATAACCATTGGCTCCAGCCTGACCCCAGGACCTCGGTCAAGTGTGCTGAGAAAACGGAGCAACTCTGATGGCAAACGACACTCCAGAAGGTAGCACTGGGAAGTCCTTAAGACAGTACTATTCTCAACCTCACTGAGGTTACAAGTCTAACCAGTCTAACCTGTGCATTGTATATCTGCAGGAGCAGTCAGAAAGCCTTCATGCGTGCGGGGGGGGGGGATCTGAACTTGATTCTGAGGCAATTGTGCCCCAAAGTATAAGATAGCCAGCTGACAGCACAGAAGATTCAGGGTGAGTCAAAGTTGTGGCATAGAATAACAGCCATAACATTTGCTTCTTTTCTGGTTTTCTTTCAATGTTTAAAATGTTAGAAATAAAAATGCCAGGTGGGTGTTAACATCCCACTAACATTGTTACTTTCCATTGAAGAAGCATAATAAAGTAAGCCAAATATAATGGTGCACACCTTCAATCCCAGCACTCAGGAGGTAGGTGGAGGAAGATCTTTGTTAGTTTGGGGCCAGTTGGTCTCTATTTAGAGTTCCAGGCCAGCCAGGACTACATAGTGAAACTCCCTGTCTCAAGAAACAAATTAGGGGTGGGAGGGGCTAGGGTATCTCACTATACTCCCTAAAACAAACCAACTGACTAACTAAGGTCAAACCGAGGCTTGCCTCAAACTGGGATCCTCTAGCCTCAGTCTCCCAGGATCTGAGATTACAGGCATGCACCACCATGCCTTCCTCAAGGTTTTCTCTTTACAATTTAAATTTGGTTTTCTGAGTATTTTCTCTTCAGGGCAAGTAACAGTGACCACGTACAGTGAGGCTTTCTTTTCAACTAAAAGAAAAGGGGGGTGAGGGAAGAGAGAGAGGCAATGCGGAGCACACTGCAAGTCGCCACTGACTGGACAGCTTGTATGGAAGTGGAATTCAGGATGCCCGCTTAGGGAAGATTCTGAGAAGAAAGGCATGATGGGAACCTTAGTGCAGAATAAAGGGTGGGGAAGCGGGACACGCGGAGGCAAGGGTGTGTGGATAGGACATACTCACCCAGATGGCATCTAACCCGGGCATTGGTGGGTCCACAGCGGCCCTCCAGCCGCGCCCCGGGCAGGAGAACGGAAAAACCAGCATTGCCGAAGGTGTTAGCACTCATGAAGCTCCGCAGCCCCCTCAGCGCGCGATAGGCTCCTGGGCACCGCCGGCAGTTGCTGGGCTGGCACCGGCCTGCTTGGTACAGCAGGAGCTGGTAGCACCCAGGGGCCAGAGGTGGGGACCAGCCCCGAGGCAGAGGGGTAGTCCCTGAGAAGTCCCAGCTCACAGCCCCAAAGTCCCGCAAAATGGCGGGGAAGCTGCTCTGTAGGAGCTCCACATCATGCCTCTGGGCATCACGAGGCACAAAGGGGGACGAAGGCAGGTCTGGTAGGAAAAGTAGGCCTGGGCGCTGAATGCCCAGGACCCCTGTCCCTCCTGCTTGGCCAGAGCCTCCATGAGCTGCCCGCCTCACTCTGCCCATCCCAGCCCAGGAGTAGCGCCTAGCGTAGGCCCGAAGTCGCCGGCTCACTAGACCCTCGGCCCTGGGTCCTTCCCCAGGATCTCCAGAGCCTCTTGGGCCAGCCTGAGAGCATACATCAGGCCCACCACTAACACCTCCAGCACGGGTCCCAGCACCCAGGGCCTGCATGTCTTGGGAGCCCAGGCGGTAGCAGTACCAAAGGAACAGAGAAGTGAGGGCTCCTAGAAGCACAGTAAGAGTTGAGGAGCCTAGGGGCAGTGGCCATGGAAACATGATAGTCAAAGAGGCCCTGGCCAAGAGGCCTGCTGCATCTTCCGGACCCCAGATCCCGGGCCCCCCCAGTTCTCCAGCTGTCCCCTCGATGGCAGCTTCCTGGTTCCTGCCCTTCCACATCCCACTCCTGTTCCCTCTGCCCTCCTGCAGGCCCCTCAACAGACGTTTCCCTGTCTTCCCCCTAGCTCGTCCTCTCCCCCTCTTCCTTTTCTTGCTCTATTTGACTGTCTTCACTCTGAGCTCGCTCTAGTCCTTTCTATGACCCCTCTCTTCTTTCTCCTTCCCGCAGTCTCTATCTGCCTCTATCTCTCTCAACCCTGTCTCCCACTCCCGCTCCGCTCGTTTCTCCTTCCTCCACTGCTCTCCTGCCCCCTTTCCCTATCCAGCCCTTGTTTTTCTTCTAGCTTCCCCTGACGACAGCAGTCCCTAATCCATCTGGCCTGCAGTCCCTCTCTGCAGCGGCTTCTGACTCCTTCCTCTTTCCTCTCTCCTTGTCCTGTCTTCTCCCTCGACCTGCTCGGGTCCGTCCTCTCTGGTTCCCGGCCTCCTACACACCCCTTCCTGGGCGCCCACTCACCCTGACGTCACTTCTTCCCGCAGCCCTCTCTGCTTAGCTACCCCACGACCCCTCCCAGAGGCAGCCGCAGCCCAGCCCTGGGGGGAGGGGAGACTTTCTCTAGATTTGCCTCTCTAGACTCCCACCCCAGCCGGGACCTAGCGCCACGTGGGGTACAGGGGCACAGTGCCAACCTCCAGCCGCCCCGCAATGCGAAAAGAAGGGCGGGGCAGGCTCGGGGGCGGGGCGAGAACGCTGACCCTGACCCGCGCGCGAGGCCGGTGCTCCCCGACTGCGACTTGGACCGTGGGCCTGAGGGTCCCTGGAGAGGTCGGCCCGTGACTCCCCTTCCCCCTGGCTGGGCTTCGCCAAAGCCAGCACGAAGCGGGACGCGGGATCGCGAAAGCCGCTTCAGCCAATCACGGGACTCAAGGCCCGCCCACGCAGGCGGGGCCGGGGAGCTGTCCGCCCGCCGTGGTGCTGAAAGGGCGCCCGCTCGCTGCGTGGCAGAGCCAGGAGTTCGCGGGTGGCAGCCGCTGGGCCGCTGTCAGGTCGTGTGCAGGAGGAGGGGCCTCAACCCGTACCCCTCAGACTCCCCACAAGCGTGGAGACTCCCCTTTTCCCTTGGGGAGGGGCGAGCCCATCCCACCTGAGTTTCTATAAAGGGCACAGTGAAGGCCCTCGGCGAGGTCCGGGTGTGGACAGAGGACACACTGGATAGCTAGGCCAGGAAGGCGCGAACCAAGCTTCGCGCCCACCCTCGGCTCCCTGGGAAGGTCAGGTGCAGATTCCAGATGTGCTGGAATGGCGCCGAGAGACAGCCTAATTACTGCTGGGACTAGAGTTTTCTTTCGCTCCCGGAGGGGCCTTGGAGTGCAGATTACGGTCCTCGCTCGGGATCCCTCCTTCCTCCATCTGCACTTCCTCCTCCTCCCTCATCGGCGAATAAATCCCAGGCCCCTCCCTTCGTCCGTCCCCAGGATCTGACGTGGGCTTGACACCTTTCTCAGCTTCTCCCTCCTGCAGCTCCAGTGGCCGAGCTTCGGCTTCCCTGGTTCCGCAACCCCTTCCCTCTTCCTCTCCCCGCCAAGCCCCGGTAGAACCCCGTAAGGACTCTCTGAATCCTCAAGCCCACCCTGGGCCCCCGGAAGCTGCCTTTCCTTCCCACTTCCCCCCGGCTGGCTATCTATCCATCCTGATGGACCCAAGCGCCAGAACAAGGGGATAACCTTCGGCCCTCTCGGCCCCACCCCCCGCAGCGGGAGCCGCGCCCCCCTTTGCCATAGATCGGAGAGCCAAGGATAAAGATTGAGCTAAAGGGGGCGAACTCCAAGCAACCCCTAGGCCAATTCTGCTCCTCCATCCTAAAGGGAGAGAAATTGTCTTCCTTTGCTGACCCTTAGCAGGAAAGCAAAATTAAAGGGAAAGATAAAAGGACGCAGAGGGAAAGTGACAACTAGATTATTCAGAAGAGCTACAGAGGAGAGAGATTAGGGTGAGTCGCCATGGGGACTCCCAAGGCCCAGCACCCACCGCCTTCCCAGCTGTTGTTCCTAATTCTGCTGAGCTGTTCCTGGATTGAGGGTAAGGACATGTGGGGATGGGCCCTGGGAAGGCCCTGGGGGGGTCCTCCACCTTTCTCTGAACATATTGAGTCTTCCGAGCTTGTGGGGGAGGGGAGGGGCACAGTTGACTGGAAAGGGGCAAGTCAAGGCTTTCTGGCTGGTACATGGAGCCCTTGAACTCCTAATATTAAGGAGACGTGGAAATGAATAAGGAGAGCTCTTAGTTGTCTCTTAGGGGTTAAATCCAGGAAGAAGAGCTTCTGCGGAGGCGGTAGAAGCAGGCAGGGTACCTGGGTGGGAGACAGAGGTGCTGGGATAGATGCCAGGCGCTGCACACACAAATGTTCTTGGACATATGGACAAAGATAGATGAACACAAGCAGCGATACTCAATCCTTGACTCCACTCTGATCCCCAACCCGACTCTAGAGAAAGCAGCAGAGACTGCAGAGAGAGAGAGAGAGAGAGAGAGAGAGAGAGAGAGAGAGAGAGAGAGAGAGAGCCCGCAGAGGCAGAAACCCAGAGAAAGCTGGCAGAAGGAAGGAAGGTCTGGGAGGTGCTATCAGACTCTCCTCGGAGTTCTGGGGTTCCGAGGAATGCTTCTCTGGGGAGGAATGGAAAGCAGTTCCAAAGGCCCAGCTCCTCACATCCTGCTAGAGCTGTCCAGGGTTAGTAGTACCTAAGGCTCTCGCTGAAGGCCCAGAGACCAGGAGCAGGGACTGTAAGAAGGCAGATCGGAGCCTCTCCTCTGATCTTGGCTCTCAGCTCCACTGAAGACCCTCTGAGTGTCAGCATGCTAAGAAGTGCTCTGGGAAATACCTCTCCAGGGAAGGAAGGGGTCTAGAGGGATGGAGGGACTCATGGGACTTCACCTCCTAGGTCTGCCCCTGAAGGAGGACGAGATGGTGCCAGAGCCCGGAAGTGAGACTCCCACAGCAGCCTCTGAGGACCTGGCTGAGCTGCTCCATGGAGCTTTGCTGCGGAAGGGCCCAGAGATTGGCCTCTTGCCGGGTGAGGCCCCCAAAGGGACATAAAAGTAGAAGGAGAGGCTATGCCTCTGGGAGATGGAGTGCTGGCCAGACAGAGGCAGGTACAGAGAGTTCAGAGAAAGACGCCTAGGAAACCAATGAGATTCAGGGGCAGGCAGGAGAAGAAAGAGTCAAACCGTCCCTAGACAGATCCTGAGACAGCGTCAATTCGGTATAGAGATATGTGAGTTCAGAGAACCAGGGTCACAAAAAGAGTGACATACAACTAGCAGTTGATCTGGCATCATAAAACCAGAGAACAATAAGAGTACTAAGCAGAGAAAAGCTCCAGAGAGAACAAGACATAGAAGAGAGGAAGGGAGGAGAGAGAGCCAGATCTGGGGGTGGGGAGAGGCTCAAGGGGGCTGTGAAGCTGGTGGAAAAAGAAAGGGAGCTTTGGCTGAAAAATCTTGAGAGAATGGTGGGAGCCTGGGTGGGTAAGGAGAAAATGGGGGCCTGTGCCTTGTGGGGAGGCTTTGGGGTTTCTGTTTCACTCTAAGCTGTTCCCCACCCCCATGGGCCAATTTCCTGCTCCTGCTCTCTGACTACCCTCAAACTATCTCAGGCTCTGACCCAGACCCCACACTAGCCACCCCTCCAGCCGGCCAGACTCTTGCAGCGCCCTCCCTGCCACGTGCCACTGAGCCAGGGACAGGGCCTCTGACGACAGCTGTCACCCCTAAGGGGGTCAGGGGGACAGGCCCCACCGCGCCAGAGCTGCTGACCCCGCCCCCTGGAACTACAGCCCCTCCCCCGCCTGGCCCCGCCTCCCCAGTCCCACCCCTCAGACCCGAGGGAGGAGATGAGGAAACCACCACCACCATCATCACCACAACAACTGTCACCACTACTGTCACTAGCCCAGGTGAGGTGATGGACAGGACATGGAAGCACCCACGTGGGGATGGACGGGGGGAAAAGCTGCTTGGACCCTGTGGGAGAAGGGGCTTTAGGTAGGCGGAGGAGAGGGGCTTCTGGTTAGTAATGACAAAGGCCAACATTAATGTATATGGGCTCATCTGTGGGCTTCCATCCGTACTGTAGTTGGGGAAGGAAAGTCTCAGTGGAGGTGGAAAGGGAGCATTGGATAAGGATTGGGGGGGGGGCGGTACAGGTTACCACTGAAGATGCTTGGCTGGGAGGGCAAGCATGCAGGACCTCTCAGTCCAACTCTCTTATCTCTCTTTAGTTCTGTGCAATAACAACATCTCTGAGGGGGAAGGGTTTGTGGAGTCTCCAGACTTGGGGAGCACTGCCAGCCGCTCTATGGAACTCCTAGATTGCACCTACAGCATCCATGTCTACCCTGGCTATGGCATTGAGATTCAGGTAATTTCCTTTTGTGCCCATTGAGTGTGCCTGAGTCTGGCCAGGGAGCCGGTGAACCTGTTTTCAGAGTTAGATGATCTCAGAAACTCTTCTAGAGCTCTGTAACAGGGGTGGTTTACCAGAGGGCGGGGCTTAGGTGGTCATTCTAACCCCTCCTCCACTAACTTGCCCTGGCCTGCTTGTATCTGGTTTCTTTAGGTGCAGACACTCAACCTGTCTCAGGAGGAGGAGCTCCTGGTGCTGGCCGGTGGGGGATCCCCAGGCCTAGCCCCCAGACTCCTGGCCAATTCCTCCATGCTGGGAGAAGGACAGGTCCTTCGAAGCCCAACGAACCGGCTGCTCCTGCACTTCCAGAGTCCTCGGGTCCCAAGGGGCAATGGCTTCAGGATTCACTATCAGGGTAAGAAGTCAACGTGCCACTAGAGGAGCAAGAGCCACATCAGATAGAGAAGACACCTCCAGGGTCCTTCTAACTCAGGGTCCTGAGAAAACCTGCTTGGGACCCTATGTGGGCAGGACCCTCAAAAGGCATGCATGTATGTTTTTCTCACAAACTCCTGGATCCATAAATGGGTATGAATGACTCCAAGCAGCAATTCATTTATTTGGTTCAATGAATTTTTACTGAGTACCTGCTTCATACCAGGCTCTGTGTTAGCCTTGGGGGAAAGAATGAATAAGGTTGATATTAAGTCTGTCTTTAAGGGGCCAAGGATCTGGGGAGAAACATAAGTAATGGGAAACATAAGTTGTGTCAGAGATAAAGACTATGAAGACTCAGGCAAGGGGAGCAGGCATGAAAAGGGACCAAGTGTTTTCTAAGGAAAATTGGCATGGCTTCGAGGAGGAGGTGACGACTAAGAGAGACCTACAGAATGAGTTGGCAGGGAGGGGTAGGGAGAAAGAAGCAACTGTCTAATGGATGGAAAAGTGCATTCTGAGTCCCAGAGAGAGGAGAATGAGAGAATGTGACCCTTAGAAAGGGAGGTGGAACTGTCTGCACTGTGAGACCTGGTATAGTTTCTTTCACCTTTCTGTGTCTCAAGGCTCTGGAAAACAGCAGTTATAGTACTTACTGTGAGATATGACTAGGAAGATCAAATGAGTTAGTACCTGCAGAGCATCTAAAACAGTGTCTGGAGCACAGTAAACTCAGAAATGTCAGCCAGCGCCACCACAGCCAAAGCTGAGACAGCGGTAAAGGAAGGGTGAATGGAAAGGCCACACCGGGAGGCAGGCAGGGTGTCACTGGGGAGTTCAGGGTCCCTGCAGGTGAGAAACAGATAGTTGAAACAGCACAGTAGAAAAGTGATGATCTTAGGTTTGCAGTTTTGGCAACTCCTGACTTCCAGGGCAGGAAGGGCTAGTGTTTTGTGCATCCACACGCAGACGAGCTCCATATGTATCTATGCTATCCTGTGTGTGTGTGTTTGTGTGTGTGTTTGTGTGTGTGAGACCTCTCACAGTGCACATGCATTTTCTAGCA